AATTTTGATCTCTCTCCAGTAATGAAGAAGTACTGATTTTGATCTCTCTCCGGTAATTCATTCAAATCAAGAGAAGTTGTTGATAATTTTATTTATCGACAATAATGAATTTACGCCTCACAATTAATACAGCATATTTCAGAATTTGTGAATTGCTTCAGGTATGGCAATCTCAACAACTGTATGACATTTTTTCTGAAAGATAATGAAAATACTACTGTTACTCTGAGTTAAAAGATTAAATCGTTTGCATTGCTATAAAATATTTCTGTGGTTTAAGTTTGTCCTCATTACTTGAAATAGAATAAAATCTGTTCATATAATGAAAACTAATTATATAGTACACTTTTTTTGATCATTATTGGGGATTGGGCGATTATATGTGGTGGGTTTTCACATATAGCTACATGATCACTACTGCTATCATACATCTGTTACGGGGGTTTTAAAATACATACTTATAATTTGTCCCTCTGTGTGATATCGATAGATCAAAATTCAGGTACTGAGTTCATGAACTAGTTTATAGGGACTGACTGGTCGTTGTAAAGTAACAAGTTCTGCAATTTTCTGTTTTCTTGTTATTGCGCATCCTTCACGATCTGGTTTGACCGTCACATTATTACGACCCCACGGCTGAAAGGACGAGCATGTTTGGTGGAACGGGGATCCGAACCTGCGACCCTCAGATAGCGAGTCGAGCGCTCTAACCACCTGGCCATGTCAGGCCCATTTTACTTTTAATGGGTATGTTAGTACGGCGGATGTGAAGTGAAAAACGCTAGACGAACTTAATTGTTTAATGTCGACACAAGAGAGTCGTATCTTTTTAGCTTATATATATGTATAATTCGCAAAACCAATTTTCAGTGAACTCAGTTGAAGCCCAAAATAGTATTACGGGCACACACACACGTGCAGACAAACCAATTATCTGAATGGATTGAAGTTTTAGTAATTATTCTTCCCAAATGGGTGACCAGACCGAAGTGGATCAAGTTAGTATCACGAAGAATGTACTAACGTGCGTTTCACGGTGATTCCCATCTGGACTCTAGGTGTGCTCATTATTAATAGAATGATTGTATTATTACAGAAGTAATATCTCTTTTTCTCAACACGCCGCTTCTCGTTCTACATCCACGCTATCATCAGTTATGCGTGGATAGCCTTTTGTGTAGAATTACTCGAATATTCTGAAACAAACAAACAAGTTTAATGGGCTGGCTTAGATCTAAGGAAGCTTTACGGTTTTATGCCTTACACCAAATGTATCACTTCGCCAGCTAAATTCCTTAAGTCATAGAGATGTTCAAGATTATTAAACTCAGTACCTCCCATGAGAAAATAACAACAACTTTGATATAGGCATATAAACGGTTTTAATGTTATGCACACTTTTTATAACAATTACTCAGGGTATTGCATTCAAAAAATTATCGGCACGAAATTAAAACGTGGCTAAAAGCTAACTGAAAATAACGAACAAGTTCTTTATGAACTTTACAGTGCGAGAAATAATTACTGAAAGACTCTGATTACTAGCTTACAATATAATGAAATCCACTGTTTAATAGACACGTTTGTTTTAGGATGTAGAATATCTCTACAAAACAAGTCTTTTATTTCGTACTACAGCTCAGTATCCTTGTGGGATTTCGGGTGTGGATACTGAACGGAAGTCTACCTCAGTTTTCTGAACAAGACAATCCGGCTGCCTTTTCACAGTCATTGCTCTCCAGGTAAGAAATCTCTCTCACTCTTAATGGAAAATCGTTGTCTGTTATTCCTCGCCATATTAGAGCTTTCTCTCTCTCACTGCTCATCATTAAAAACATTATTTCTCTCATTTGGCAATAACATTCTATCATTCCTCACCAAGAAAGACATTTCTCCCTGATACTGTTCTCCAGATTAAAAATATTTTTATTGTTCCTCACCTGATTAAAACTTTTTTCTCTCATTACTTTATAATCATAGAAACTTTTCCAGTAAAAGTAAAATCATTTATTTTTAATTACTTCTTACTTAGTTATGTCATTCTTCCACCTGCTGCTCACCAACTAGAAACTTTCCTCCAAACCTTTTACAACTAGGTTCAAAACTTTCTTAAAGATACTGTAACCATATACCTTATTCCTGTCACTTGGAGAAGGCTTAACAGCTAATGTTAATTAAGTACCTTATTCCCGTCACTGTGAAGCCTTCTCCAAGCCAACGTTAATTAAGTACCTTATTCCCGTCACTGTTAAGCCTTCTCCAAGCTAATGTTAATTAAGTGCCGTCTCTTTACCAAACCATCTTAATGTCAGCAGTAGTGAGAAGATGGAAATACATCACTGGATCTACTTTCCCATAAAAATAAACTACAGAGGAATAACATATTTCCAACGAATGGTTAAGAATAAGAGTCAAACATATATTTAAGACCTGTATATCAGTACGGAATGCAGAGTAATCCCACTGCAAGACCATTCATGCCTCGAGAGGCTCAACTACTAACAAAAAGTTTGTCTACGTGTTCTGAATAGCTTTGTTCTAACGCCACAGTGACTTGACAAATAGTGATTCGTTCAACTAAGACAACAATGATTTACAACCAGAGAGAAAACACGAAAAGGTCTGGGTACGACTTTTTTCTCTTCCTGAAAACAAGCCTGACTCTACAAAAAAAAAGTTCTAAGATAATAATATATATATATAGATGGAAATTGATTATTCTCTGTTTCGGGCGGGAACTGTGCTAATGATAAACCAATATATTTTACCGTGCATACGGGGAATAATCTTCCTTAAAAAGAACGAAATAACGAAATTTGTAAACTATACAGTTTCAAATGACACAATACATTGAAGAAAGGAGTATTCAGTGTTCTACGTAGAAATGGAATCCAGGCTCTGAAACCATACCTTGGTCCAGCGTGGAGAAAATCCCTCATCTACAAAATCAAGGTTATGTTTATGAAAATAGCACATCTGGCCTAAAATACATTGCAATGAAGCTGAACATATATTCCCCGGTACCGACAATAAACAAATATTTGAATGAGATGTAGGCTTATGAGCCAATGGTTCACTGGTTTGTAACCACATCTCGAAGGAAAGGCTGTTTTTTCTGATACTTTAACCATAGTACAACCATAATACAAAGTGTAAGGTGTCAGTCAACAGTGTGTAATGATAGTCATTGGACAATAGAAAGGGTAAGGTGTTGGTCAATAGTGTGTAATGAAAGTCATTACACAACAGAAGGGGTAAGGTGTCAGCCAATAGTGTGTAATGAAAGTCATTAGACAACAGAAGGGGTAAGGTGTCAGCCAATAGTGTGTAATGATAGTCATTGGGCAATAGAAGGGGTAAGGTGTCAGCCAATAGTGTGTAATGATAGTCATTGGGCAACAGAAGGGGTAAGGTGTCAGCCAATAGTGTGTAATGATAGTCATTGGACAACAGAAGGGGTAAGGTGTCAGCCAATA